GAGATCATTGTGTGATCAGTACAACCCACTTACTCCATGTAGCATTGGTTCCATGATGTGTAGAGGATACCCTGCCTTTGAATATCTAGCCCAGCACGGGCAACTGGGGTGCCAGGAGGAGCTGTGCTTCAGTGCCCGTCACTTCTGAAGCAGCTCTAACCCCTTCATAGGCTGCCAGTATCTCTTTCTCAGTTGAGGTATAGCTGGCCTTGGATCCTCTGTATCCCTGACTTCAAAAGCCGATGGGCTGACCTTGAGTCTCCCCTGGAGCTTTCTGCCTGAGGCTCCAGGTAGGACCCTTCTCCCCGGCTGTGATGTAGAGCACATTTTATACATCTGGCCTGGTCTGTGCTGGTCCAAGGGCTCCTGCATGAACTATCTCTCGTTTAACTTGCTCAAAGGCTTGTTGTTGCTCAGGGCCCCACTTAAAATCATTCTTCTTCTGGGTCACATGGTAGAGAGGGCTTACAATCAAACTGTAATTTGGGATGTGCATTCTCCAGAACCCCACAACAGAAGCTCTGGGAAATGCTGCCACAACAGCAGAGGTGGAAAGTTACAGCGCTACAAGTGGCAGGTCCCTGGCATTACTATGCTCTGGTGCTAAGGTGCTGCAGGCACGGTGGGTTGTGCTTCCTCCCCCATGGAAACTCACAAAATGGCACCATACTATAGACAAGCTTTCTGATGCAGCAGTGCTCAGGAATCTGGTCTCTGTGAAAGGTGAAATTAGAGGAGGCTTTGAAACAGTCAGTTGTGACTGGTAGGTGACATTGGAGAAGGCAGATTATCTAAAGTGATGGTCAGCAGGACAAAGCAGCTGAGCTGGAGATAGTCATTAGGGTAAGATTCAGACCCAGCATTACAGATTGGTAATCCAAGTCATGCTGAGGTGCTTAAGAGAGGAGAGGGTTAGAGGCAGGCAGAGCGCATGTGTAGTAGGGGCTCTGCATACATCTCCATCTGTGCTGTACATCTGGGGAGGTGGGAAATCATTCCATGCATCATGGTTTAAACCCAGCCAGACAGCTTGTTCACTCACTCTCCCCCTTCTTGCCCTTCCCCTACTCCCGGAGAGACTGAGAGGAGAATCAAAAGAATGCAACTCCCCCGGGTTGAGATAAGAACAGTTTAGTAACTAAGGTATAACACGAACCACTACTGCTACCAACAACAATAATAATGATAAAGGAAATAACAAGGGAAGAGAATACAACACCTCAGCACCAGCCGACCAATAACTTGCCCCCCCAGCCCGACCAAGTACTGACCAATACTTCCTCCAACCCTGCAGTCTCCTAGCCCTTCCGGGTAGCTCCCAGTTACATCCTGGGCATGACGTGCTGTGGTATGGAATACCTCTTTGGTCAGTTTGGGTCAGGTGTCCTGTCTCTGCTTCCTCCTGTCTTTCCCTCCTCCCTGGCAGAGCATGAGGCTCAGAAAGTTCTTGGTCAGACTAAACCATCAGTGTTATCAGCTCTGTTCCCAGGCCAAAAGTCAAAACACAGCACTGTACCAGCTACCAAGAAGGAGAAAAACAATTGCTACTGCTGAACCCAGAACACCATGTGTGGTGGAAAGGGTTAAAGGCTTTAATTCTGGGGTGCTCAGGTTGAAAGGGCTGTAAGTGTATCCTGTGTTTTACAATGACTTTGTGGAAAGAAGAATGATGCCAGACCAACTATGAGAGAGTATAAATGCACAACCGCAAATCCAAACACGGGATCCAGGACAAGGAAGAATTGGGCCACAGGTTCTGTCACTGAGCAGCTTTGCCACTTTTTGGAAGTCACTTGACATCTGCGCTTTCCTTGCCTCTCTTACTTTTTTCTGCCCTATTTTAATGGTGAGCTTGGGGACTTCATTTGTTTCTGTTGGGATGTTTGTACAGTGACTGTTTGGAGTGCACAGTTTGGCTGGTGCCTCTGGGTATTACAGTAATATAGGCTATGACAATGTAACTACCGAAAGGTTGCTTTGGAATATAGAACTATGTATAGAACAGAAAGTGGAGAAAGATGTGCCTAGAGACAGAGAGTATATCCAGAAGTACCTAAGGGAAAGGAAAAAATAAAAAAAAATGCTGAACATTCTTGAAAAAAAAAACCACAAACCAAGAGAGAGAAACAACCAAGATGGGCCCCAAAATAAATCAGTTATATTATAAGCAGATCGGAGGAAAGGTGCACATATGAATGAGAGAAACCTCAAGGGCTCATGTTTTGTCAGAGACAGAGCAGAAAATCCATGTTCCTGACCTGCGGAGAGAAAGGTTGCATTGTAAGTTTGTTGGATACCAGCAGACTTCTTCATGGGCAGAGGGCACTTGAGACACAGATCCTTAAGAAATCTGGTTTATTAAGCTGTGCTGCTTGAATGACAATTTGGAGATTTTTTGGTCATGCTTTATTCTAGAACTAACATATAATCATCTGACATTGACATTGCTTGCATTGGCATCACCTTTACCAGCCATTTAACATGGATGAGGGACAGGTCAGATCCTGCAATAGGAGCTTATTTCCTCAGAGTGGCATAAGAGGACAAGAAACAGACGTGAGCTTCTCTGATGCCAACCACTGGGAGGAGCTGGACCAAGAATATCTTGCTGATGGCATGGCGGGAACAGCAGATAGAATAGCTATCTGCGTTTTCAGTCTGAACCTGTGAGTCGTTGCAGTCTGTGGAAGGCTTGAGGGATAAAAACTTAGAAGAGCAAGCAGTAGCAGGAAGCTGAAGCATGTTACAAGCAAGTTGTATCCTTGTGAAAGGAAACTTAGGAGTCTGCCAACTGAGGAAGCTTGGAAGATATGATCATACCTGAGTTTTTAAATGACAGGCCATACCAAAACCCAGTGGGATCACAGCAAATACTTCATGAACTGTATCAAGCTTCTGATCCATCTTCAACCACTTAGTTTAATTCTCTGAACTACACACTTACTGTGGCATGTTAGCTTTAGTCCTCTCAGCCTTGGGTCACTATGGAAGCCTCAGCCAGGCCTGCAAAAGCAGGAGTCTGCTTTAGCATGGATCTGCTTTACAAAGTAATATACTTGGAGGTTATTGCTGCATTCCTCCTGGCTCTAGAGAGAGTGTATATTGTTCATGTTTCAGGTCTAACATCTGTAACCACATGTCACAGTATTAAAATGACACCTAAAGCTTCTACTTAAAATATGACTCCAGCAGCTTTGGAAGGAAGCAACAAATAGGATGGGAGCTGTGATGAAGTGCTAAACAAAGGAGTGGAGGATAAATATATCTGTCACATCCCAGCACTGCAGTGCTAGTTCTGAGTTCATCTTAGGAGGAACCTGATAGAGAGAAACCAGAGCTCCAAGGTGCAGCATGTGCAGCAAGATGTATGCACTGCTTCAAATGGAGTGCAGGCAAACACAGCTATGGAGGAAAGGGACAGAGCTAGCGTGGCAGGGGGCACTTATGCTGCCGGGTTGTCCACTGGGTATCCCGGTGAGCCTCTTGGGAAGGCTGCACGCATGACTCACTGTAAAGTAAGATGAGCTGTGTGTACAACATTTGTGCCACTCATGCGTTTCAATCGAGGCACATGAGGTATTCCTCTGGCCCCCTGAGATTCTTCTGCCCTCTGCTCGCCCAGGTAATCACCCCCTCGCACCTCTGCTGCCTGCCACATCTGGGTTAGAGGCAGCAGGTATGGCACTTCCCAGTGCTTGTAGATAGATACACATATATATGAAGAAGCACGTAGGTATTGGGTATCTCATGCTGTAAATACAAACATGTATGGCTTGTGTGTCTGTATCAAGTGGATAAATACGGGCTCTCCCCTGAGCCAGCAGAACCAGCCTTTCAGAATAAATACCTTTCACTACAAATAGCAAATGCCAAGGAGGAGCCCAGCCCCTGGAAAACCGGTCTGGCAGACGGGACTGTGTGGCGATGGCTGCTCAGGACCCTCCGCGGACGCCTCAGGGCTTCCCAGCTTCCTTGACGCGTTGCTGTTCCTGACAGGCTGCATGCAGTGAATCCGAGTCCTCGTCAGGATCGCACCCGCCAAAATAACGGCAGTGTTGCGAGAAACACCAAACCAAAACGCAAAGAGCGCAGTTACACCAACTGCACAGAAATCAGTGACAGCGTCTGACTTATTTTTGGGGGGGTGCGGTCTTGCAGTGAGGGACTTGCAGGAAGCGCAGTGCGGGGTGGAAGCGATGGCGCTCTCAGGCCGGTTCCCCGACAGAGCTGCCCCTTCGGGGCCGTGGGGTCCCCGAAGAGAGCCCCCCACGGCCGCCCCGCAGCACGGTGGGCGGAGGGAGGCGGGATGCGCGCCGCCCCGCGCAGCGCTGGTCCAGCACCCGCCCCCCTCCGGGCCTGGAGGTGCACAAAGTGAAAGTACAAGGAACAAAACCACCGCAAACCCGCCGGAGGGGCACGGCGGTGGCGGGGCAGCAGCGGCTCGTGAGTACCGCGGTGAGTACCGCGGCTGGCACCCCGGGGCAGGATGCTCCGGCCGAGGGCGCGGAGCGGGACGGAATGAGCCTCGGGAGACGATGGGGGGACAGATCCAGCCCCGCTGGTTGCTGGAGAGATGCAGCGGGGCAGGGCTGGAGAGAGAGGCGGCAGAGAGAGCTGCTAGGAAGTTTGGAAGGATTTGCAGGGAGCTGCTGCTTCCGCAGGACAGCGGGAGGAAGCGAGTTATCCTTCAGTCAAGCCCTCGGGGCCTCCGCTTGGCCTGGCCGAGGTGGGAGGGCGCTGGAAGGTCATTTGCCAGCACAGTGTACAGGAGAGCCTTGTGTGGCCCCTGGCAACACGGACAGCGCCGCGGGGTCAAAGTACCGAGTGATGGACGCTGCAAACGCGGGAATGAGGGCGCTGCCCAGCGCAGTAACCTGGGGCAGCTGGTACAGCACACCCGTGGTGTGGGTAGTTCCCCCTCTAAAAGATTAGCTTAAAATGGGATAAATGGGATGATTGCCACTTTTTTTTTTTAATTTTTTTTAATTTTTTTTTTTTTTACCGGGCAGGGTGTAGGGGAGCCTTCAGTGGTTCATCAGAATTGTACTTTTTGCCATGCACTATGTGATGTGTGGTATTAAAGATACTGTTCTGCTCCAAAGGATGTCTTGAGTAGATTTTCACTAAACACAGAATTCCATCCCCTCCCCTCCTGGTGCCCCATTTTGGCGATAATGCAGGAGGCACAGAAGATGCAGGGGCTTTACAAAATATCCTTCCTGGCTTGAGAAACACTCAGCTGGCAGCCGTGCACTTTTATGCACACAAAACCTTCAAAAGCAGCTGTTTCTTGCAGAGCAAAACCCTCACAGCATAGTTTCCTGTGAGAATGGGGGCTCATGATTCCCACAGTTTCCTGTGGGAATGGATGAACTCGTGTTGCAGTAGAAGCAGAAACAGGATCGTTTTGTTGTCCCTAGCTGCCAGCTCCACAGAAGTAGTACTAGGGCAGGCAGTACTTTTGGGATCCACCCCTCTTCGTCAGGTTTTTTGAGCTTTGAGAGTTGGGATTATGGTGGGAGAAAGGTAGCACATATATGTACATGGAGACTGTATGATCACATACACCTTCTTTCCATAGAAAAGCCTAAGCCAGAGGCACATCTCCAAAAGAGGTGAGTTTCAAAATAGCAGTTCATGAAATATTTTTGTGTGTGTGTTTCTGCTTTCTGAGCTTTCAGAGTACTCACACTTCAAACTTCACTGCTCTGAGTTGAGAGATAAAGCCTTACCTTCCTCCCAGCCTTTTTCTTTCTTTTTTAAAGATGAAGCTGCAATCTGCCCTTACTCCTTTTGTCAGGAATTGGGATTTTCACCGAGTAGCATCCAGCATGCAGCAAAACAGTAGGGCTCTGTGGAAGCTCAAAAAAGTGCTGGGGAGAGGGAAGAGTTATTTGAGGAGAGGTAGACCAGCACAGATGTAGATTACAGGGGGAAGGGGAACTTGTTAAGTTTAAATACTTCTAGGTATGGAGAAAGTTTGTATGTGATGTAGAGTTGCTTTCCGTACGCTTTGGGCTAGATACACTGGTGAACATAATCATAGGGTGGTTGGGGTTGGAAGGGACCTTAAAGATCATCTGGTTCCAACCCCCTGCCATGGGCAGGGACACCTCACATTAGACCATGTTTCTCAAACCCCCATCCAGCCTGGCCTCGAACACTGCCTAGGATGAGTGTGACTGCAGAAGGCTGCAGTGTATTATGTCCCAAGGCATGATAGATGTGTGCCTCCTCCAGGGGCATTTTCAGGTCTTGCTCAGCGAAGTATTTCATCGCTCACTGTTTTGTGAGCCTGACAAAAACGAGCACAGTTTACCATATAAAACTCAGGAAAATGGCTGCCTTCCTATCAGCATCTCTTTACACTGACTGGAAGGATGAGAGGATGTGTGGTCCTGCTTAGAGCAGATTCCCAAATCCACAATGACCAGAGGGAGAGTAGGTATCTGGGGCTGTGCATGTGAGAGCTGTTTTGCGTGGGATGTGTTCTGGTTATGTAGATCAAAATGTGACTCTGGCATCTTAAGAAAGCTATGGGTAGACATCAGGCAAAGCACTGAGCTTGAGGCAGGGTCCTTGTTAATGCTGTACCCTTTTTCAGCAGCAGTCACCATGAAGAAGAGTAAGGACAGAGTGGGAAAACCCTGCAGAAAAGGCTGAAGATAAGCTGGCCTTCCTGATGCCTGGCTCTAACTACTTTGGCAGGCCTGGCAGTGCAGCATGATTAGGATGAGGAGGAAGAAACTGTGGGCATCTTGCTTATGCTTTGCAGCAGCCTTCTTCCTTGTGGTGACACTCCAGGTACAGGGGCAAGGGGGTGGGGCATGCATGAGATCACTCTCAAAGTATGACGCAGTTCTGTCAGATGAGAGCACTGAAGGTGACAGACATTTTCTGTGCAAGTCTGTGCTTTAAGAAGAGTGTTTAAAGAAACTCGTCAGCAGCGTTGGCCTGGTGGTAACAGCTGACAGCTGGAAGTGACATTGCCCAGAGAACATCTTTCTTGCATAGCAACTTGGGTCCTGGAGGAGTTTCTCAGGAGGGGTGTACTATATCATTGTCTCACTCCTGCACCGCCTCCTCTGTGCATGTGCTTAAACCCATAAGGTAGCCAGGCAAGGCTTGACCCCTAGGGACGTGGAAGCTTTGTGTTTTGTTTTTTTTAGAGCTGATTTCTAGAGAAACTTGGCTAGTCTCTCTTGTGCTTTTTCTCCAGGGAGAAAGCAGAAGCTGTGTTGTTAAATCATAGGTCATGTGGCCTTACATAGCCACATGAAATATGTGAGAAATACAGAAATGTATTTCCCACCTCCTCCTTACAAATTCACATTACAGCTTCTGCTGTTCTGACATAAGATCCCCTGGATGATGGTGGCTGCAGTCACTGAAATGTATGCATTTTGATGGACAGAAACTTCACATGCAGACTTAGTGCTTGATGCTTAAACTCTGGCCAATGACAGTGATGCACTGTGTTTATTTCCCTGAAGGTTATCACTGAACTGAGCAATTCAGAGAATAAGGTGGCAGTAATCTCCAGTTTACAGAATAGCCCACTAAAGCCTGTGGAGAGATACGCTTTTCAGTTCAAGGAGCAGGACCTTCGCAGCAGCTTCAAGGCAGAATCTGATGTAAATCACTATCCTGTCCTGCTCTGGTGGTCTCCCCTGACTGGGGAGAAAGGGAGATTGGGTCAGTGCGGAGAGGACGTTTGCTTCTTTACTATCAACAAGACCTACCAGCATAATGAGATGACGAGAGCATTTCTGTTCTATGGTAAGGATCTGTTTCTTTTTAAAGGAGTAACTTCCCTCTTGCCTGGTTTTTCTTTAGAGATTTAATATTGTAGGTAGCAATCAGTGAGAGCAGGAAGCTCACATAGCTCATTGTGCTAAACTTTGCCTGGTGCTGAATACCATCAGTAGAGACCCAGAGATGCATGTTCTCTGTAAAAGTACTCTGAAAAGTGACTGCACGTGTCATGGTATGACTGTTGCCTTGTCTTGTGCTGCTTTTCAGTCACATGTTCTCCCTCTTTATGGGAGAAAAGATTATTTCCTCTATTTGCCAAATCATGAAAAGACAGTCTGAGATCAAGCCAGCTTTTTTCAGTCTTCTGGTTTGTCAACCCTAGCAGAGATTCTGCAAGGCCTTTGTTGCCCTTGTGCAAGTCTTTTGTCTTAAAATAATGCCTTTGCTGGTAACTGTGCAACTGCCCTGCATCTTGGGCCAAGAGATTGCTAGCAGACTGTAAATCCAAAGTAGTGAAAGGAGCCTATTGATCTGCACAGGGAGCAGCAGCCGGTGCAGCCTTCTGAGCTGCTCTGGCTCTGCAGTTTGAGAAAATTCCACTGCATGCACTGTAAAGTGAATCTACAAAACAGAAATATGTCTCTTTTAAAAGTAGGCCGTATTTTGTTAATTTTGATATTTTTCCTCACACTGTTGCTTTTCAGAGGAAAAGTTAATTTTAAGGGGAAAAATAAAACCAAAGCATTTCTGTTGCTGGTAGATTCAGCTCCTTTGTGTGGTAGATTCAGAGTTCGGAATCTCTTTCACTCAGTCAGGATACAGGTGAACTGGAAATATAGGAAAGAAGGACCTTAAACTTGGTGGTTACCAGTGAACCAAAAACTTCTTGTCACTGACGTTTTTGGAGCCCCAAGTAGGTCAGCATTGTCAGTTGATAGTACAGTGGTCAAGCATGAGCACAAAGGAATAACAGCAAAGGAATGAGAAGCTGACCCAGATAAAGAAAAGGAAAGCTGGGTTTGCATCACATGAAAGATGTAAAGTCTGGTGGTTTTAGTCTCTGGCAGTAATTCTGTTAACTTCAGCATTAGAAGAACTACTACTGTTCATTTTTAGCAGGCTTGTGGCCATGCTTTACTTACTTAAAGGACTATTTATACTGTGCAGAAGACTCCCTGTAGTTTTAAACTACTTTTTATAGTGATGCTGGCTATAAACTGTATAAAGACAAGTGTCAAAATATGTAAAAAATTTGCTTATTTTTAATCCATAAGAAATGATCTCATAATGCTAAAACCTGCAGAGACAGAGGTCCTAGGTGGTATTGAAGTTGATAAAAAATCATTAACACACACTCAGACACATACCCTTGATGTGCTGAGCTGTGGGCCTGCAAGAAGGCAGATTTTGGTGTTCAGAATTTCCCTCTAAACAGCCTGCTGAGTGAAAACTTGGAACATCTTCATTTCTATAATGTTGGATCAGGGCATAGTTTCATCTTTCAAAGAAACTGCATTAATTTTCCCCTAATATTTGCTCAGTGAGCTAGTCAGGAGAAGAATGATCCAAAGCTTAGAAAAATCATTATGAAAAAATATGAGTTACAGATGTTTTCCAGCAGCAGAAACTGCTTTTCTAGGACCACCTTCTTTTCAACAGCTTGTCCTGATTTATTGTTCTGGACTGGGAATCCCCTAGGTGTAGCTGATGACTTTGTCAAATGCCACCATCTCCTATGTGGAACTGAGATGTGGCATCCACTTGCTGCATTTTGCCTCTGCTTTTGGGAGGGATTCCCAACTCCACCTTTTCGGTGCCATCTGTTTTACAGAGTTTTGTCTGTAGTGTGAGCTACCATTGTCAGCATGAGCTGTATCTGGTGCCATGCTGTCAGAGCCCCAGGGGTGTTGTTCCTAAGGGAGGAGGATGTCGAGCTGTTCTGTGCTGGAGCATGGAGTCCTTGCAGTATGAATCCTGAATAAAAGGTGTCTTGTAAGATGCAGAACTTCTCCTGACAGCATCTTTCTCATCTACACTTTGCCACATATCTAGTATTTCCTAACTAATAATTAGGAAGTTGAAATTGCTCATAATTGTAGCCTTCTTGTACTTTCATTATCCCCTCATAAGCTCCTTCTTTTCCTTTATCTCACGGGGTAGGGAACATGCTGATGTTATCTTCCCTATAATCCTTAAAAGCTTTTTGTCTTCTTGCTGGATTAAGATTGATTATGTATTATATTAGAATCTTTCATTATGATGTGCTCTGATCTATAGTGCATTTTTCTTTTAAGTTTCTCTTTGCTTAATTCCTCATTTAGTAATTTTTATGTGTTACATTTCTCTCTCTCTCATTCTTTCCTGCATTTTCCTTCCCTCTTCCCTGCAATACTACCTTAAAGAAGAAGCACTCTAGTGAGAGTCAGAGCTGAACCGCTATGGTTTCATTCCACAGTATTTCATTATTGTCTGTATGCATTTCTCTTCTGGGCATCACTTAGAACAAAGTGTTTTCAAAACCAGATTTGCCTTATAAGCTTCTGACTTTCCTGTATCACTATAACACATCAAAACCAGAGGCAGTAAATATCCTTTTTCAGTTAGTGGACCATTTAGTGTTGAGGTCTTTGGATGACCCTTCAGTGGAAAATGGAAGGTCACATATTTAGTGTCCTTAAAAAAACCCACCTGATGCTCTTGAAGAATCTTGCACTGTAGGAGGTTTTTATGTTACTGGCAGCTAACATCTATCTTTACTGCAGTAGTGAAGTCTTAGCATTTACTTTACAAAAGGTCATCCTTGGAGTCATCTTAACAGGCTCATGCAGCTGCAGAGACCACTGGGCAGTTTTCCTTCTTTATGTATTAGGTTTTAGACCAAAATTCTGTGTTAGACTTTTGCTAGCTCCCTCTCTTTTCCTCATCAGTGGTCTGATGTCAAGGGTAGAACAGAGAGTGAAAAGTTGCGAGTGTGACTGGGATGGTAGAATAGCTTGTCCAAAGAGAAAGGATTCTTGGTGTTCTTGAAGTCAGCTGTTCGCTGTTTGTTTCTGTTTGTGTATTTCCCTTCTTGACAATACCAGTTAAAAGTTTTGTACGTTCAGTGCTTGTACTTAAGTAAAAAAACAGATGCTGAAGTAAAAAACAGATGCCGAAGTAAAAAACAGATAGTTATAAGACAATGAGGAACTATCTTGACAGAGACTCATCAGCTTTGCATTTAGTCTGCAATAAGACCAGTCTTATGAGTGTAGGACAGCAGTACTGAAGGGAGAGCAAGGGTCAGATTCACAATCTGGTTACTTGAATTCAGTTTTTCACAGACTAGCCTTTGAGAAAAAGTTCTAGGTTTGTCCTAAAGCTTTCAACACAGCTTTCCTAAGTTGTTCTGGAAGGTCCTTCTCCTCACAGGGAGGGACAAGGAGGTGCAGTTGTCTGTTTTCAGAGTTTAGATATGGTTCTTCTTCTACTATTGGCATTAGTTTAAGGAGCCGTCTTCTGCCAGGAGCTGCTTCTTTTATGTATCTGGTAGGCAGCCGTGATACATCACCTCTTAATTCTCTCTTTGATGAAATAAATAGATTGGCTTCAAAAGCCCCTATATTACAGTGCTTTTCCAAGACTTGAAGTAATTACTATAATTTTTCTCCTTAACTCTGTCCAATATTTTAGCATCCTTTTCATTGTTTTGCTACTAGAACCAAATTAAGCCCTGCAGTAACCAATAGGCAATACCATCTGACTCCTGTTTAGAGAACCGGGGGATTATTAAGCATCTGATTAGTCTCATTTCAGTGCATTAAAATGTGAAATTCCTAGTGAGCCTTTGAAATAAGAGGCCTTCAAACTTACATGATCTGAAAGGAAACCATTTCTAATATTGACTACTGATCCCCATTCTCTAGATTCTTGTGCTGCTTAATTATCTGTCATAATATTCTGTCTTTGCCTGAATCGTTCTCTTTGCAATACCTCCTTATAATGCAATAAATGTGATTGTTGTAGAGCTGATACTAAATTAAAACTATACTTCTGTGTCATTGTAGTTCGCATTGCATGATAGATAGGGGCAGACTGTAACACTGTTTGCTTTTGTCTAGGTACTGACTTCAGTATAGACAGCCTACCTCTCCCTCGGAAAGACTATCATGATTGGGCTCTTTTCCATGAAGAGTCACCAAAAAACAACTACAAACTCTTCCACGAACTGACCATCACCTTATTCAACCACACTGCAACCTTTAGCCGCCACTCTCACCTACCACTGACCACTCAGTACCTTGAGGGCATAGAGGTCCTGAAATCATTGAGGTACATGATCCCACTGCAGGTGAAGAACAGCCTGAGGAAGAGGCTTGCACCGCTTGTATATGTGCAGTCTGATTGCAACCCTCCTTCTGATCGGGACAGTTACGTGCGTGAGCTCATGTGTCACATTGAAGTAGACTCTTATGGGGAATGTCTACATAACAGAGACCTTCCTCAGCATCTTAGAGGTCCAACTGCCATGGATGATGGGAACTTCTATAAAATACTGGCACAGTACAAGTTCATTCTTGCTTTTGAAAATGCTATCTGTGAAGATTACATCACTGAAAAACTGTGGCGGCCACTGAAGTTGGGAGTGGTACCAGTGTACTTTGGGTCTCCTAGCATTGTAGACTGGCTTCCTAGTAACAAGAGTGCAATCCTGGTATCCAGTTTTTCACACCCTCGGGAGCTGGCCCATTATATCAAAACACTTGATACAAACAATCAAGAATATGAGTCCTACTTGCAATGGAAACTAAAAGGGGACATTTCCAACCCAAGGCTGCTTACAGCAATGAAGGAACGCAAGTGGGGAGTGCAAGATATCACCCAGGACAATTACATTGACACCTTTGAGTGCATGGTGTGTAACAGAGTGTGGGAAAACATCAGAAGGGAAGAAAAGGTATGAGTGACTTTGTTTTGTGTCTCAGACAGGCTTTAAAATGGCATTTTGCTCAGATTTGTCCCAGGAAGTTTGGTTATCAGATTTCTGGCCAACCTACGACTGGTAATGCAATGCCATAGGGTTGTACATCCTTATGTTAATACGTGTTGGCAGAAGATATGGGTGCACAGCATGTGTTCCTGATACTGTTGCAGTGGTTGGGTTCATACACATTGACCACTGAGCCGCTGGTCATTTCACCAGAAGACATGAATTGTTCAGGGAGGAGGTTTTTATCAGACTACAGAAGGTAGTCTAACCTGCTGACTCACTTTATGTGACTTCAAACATTTAGAAACAGGTAGCCCAGAGAGGTTGTGGGATCTCTGTCCTTGGAGAAGACTACTCAGTACTGCCAAAAGCAATTAGATGTGATTTAACCTGTTGCAGAGATGGAACTGAACTAGATGATCACTGGGGAAGTCCCTCCTGACTTAAATACTCTATGAGTGTTTGGGTCTGCATATGCATGAGTACATTCAAACCTGTAGCGACAACATGCCATTGTTTGTGGCCACATTTGGTGACTAAACATTGAAACATGAATGTGTAAGCCAGATTGTGTGTTTGAGAGAGGGATTGTATGTGTATTTTAAGATGGAAGCAGAATAAAATGATGAAAATAGAACTTCTTGCCTTAGAATTTCAGTTTGGGTGAGCTGGTCCTGCTCATTTGCAGCCAGACCTGATCTGATTCTCAGGCTGTTGTCAGCATGACTGGCCTTGCCGTGGACACTTTGGGAAGAGCTTTCCGTCTGACTTCCGCATGGATGTGGCTAGAGCCTATGGTGGGAATGAAAATGTCACTGGCGTGCTTTAATAGTTTACTAATGGCATAGCACCTTCCTTCTCTGTCTGCCAGGGTCCCTGAATAACCCTTTTTATTTCTCCCCATTGCCAGGGATGGCTGCCCCAGAGGTGGAAAGCTCAGGTCAACCATTTGAGCTGCCCCAAACCAACAGCATTCTCGTTCTCGACCTCAAACCCTGGCTGGACTTCTCTCCATGAGATGTGGATACCAAGCTTTGAGCAATCCAAGAAAGAAGCCTGGGCACTGAGGCACCTGGTGGAAAGGAACAGGAATTTTACAGCTCAAGAATTTTGGATGCTTGTATTCAAAGAATAAACACAAAAACCTGTAAAATAGAATGAGCTTCTCAGAGGAGTCTGTGGAATTTTCTTTTGAGTGTCACCTTATCATCAGTAGCCGTAGGAATTAGACGTGTAAGACTGAGCTTAGTATATTCAGAGCTCAAGGAGTACTAAGGAGTGTTAAATACTAGAATCACCCTGCCAGTGGTATATGTATACATACACTGCATACATATACATATATACGTTTATGTTGTCATTAGTTCAGATGTTTCAGCATTAAGGCACAAGTTGTAGAGGTTGTCAAAGCTCAGGTTTAAGCACACAGCTAATTCCCGTGGGGCAGATGGATCTCCCTCCATCTTTAGATACATACCTCTGTTCATGGCCTCAGGAACCCTTTTTTCCAGTCCAGGACTTTCGTTGCTGCTCTCATAGCAACAAGCTGGAGAGCAGCTGACACCATTGCACTGGTACAGCTTCTTTGCTGCTTTGGAGGTAGAGGAAAAAGTTGGGACTCTCTCCCTGGCTAGCTGTTCATTACCAATTTTCCTGGCATCAGCAGATTTAGCAGGGACTTGGCGGGCTTTGTGTCCTGACACTAAGTGCCAATTGAAAGTGCATTAGCGTTTGGCACAAGGAAGCACCATCTGTTAGTGTCCAGGGACAGATTGAATGAAAAACGTGCTGGCTCAGATTTACCCATCATCTGCTAAAAATAAGCAAGGCACATGAATATCTCTACTCCTCAGAAACAGGACTGTCTCAATATGACTTACCTTATTGCCTTTCTGATGATGGACTAGTATTTGTATCACATATTAACATGGAATTATGTGCTTGAAGGGGCAGGAATAAAACACTGAAGCTGGAAATTCTTTAGTATGAATAAGGAGAGGTAGGCAAACAACCTCCCTGTTTTAACACAGAAAACCTCAAATTTGTCTGACAAAAAACCTTGGTAATCGTGGTCATCACTTTCCAAACGACACACCTTTGCCTGGGATGCAGACTACGGCAGTTTTCATCCCAAGTTCTTCCAACCTCAGTCTATGGAGGAGTCAACTTCTAAAGGATCTGCAAAATGGCATTATCTGTGTGGAGCCTGTCGGATGAGGGATGTTATTCATATGCATGCCCATGTATGATGACACAGGCAAATGTAACTACTAATATGGAGTTCTTCACATTGCTGGAAAGAAAGATTTTCACCTGTCTGATAATTTCCATGCAATTGTTCCTTGTAGCAGACTATTTTAAGACTGCTGACAAGCATCTTATTTTGTGAATGGGTAGCTGTGGGGAAGGATGTGAATAGAATTTTCACCAAGAATTTCAGCTGCAAAATTTGCTCACCTTAGAACTAAGTTTCCTCACCAGAAATTTCTTAACAAATAGCTACTGAATTTTGTATTACTTTTAAACCTAGCAAGAGAAAGAGCAGTTTTGTGTCCACAGCCCATGCAGCATTGGTCATTGTTTCTGTAAGTGTGAAGTTGGCTTTGATTAGCAAAGCAGACCCAGTGGAATTTCTCGCTATTAATGTTTTGCCAGTGTGGCACACAGCATCTGTTGAGCATGTCTTAAACTCTTTTCCCAGTGGTCTACAGCGCACATGGTAACTAAGCTCCTCAAATGAAGTCCTTCAGGAAAGTGGCATTATCATTGCAAAGGGAACTGCAGAATCCCTACCTGTTGCCATGAACCTCTGTTTCTTTTCCCAGGATGGCACGGAATATTTGCAGCAGAAAGGGTTAACTTTTTTTTGGGGGTAATGTTATGCTATCTCCTTTGCCAAAAATCTCAAGCCAAGTTGTTTAAAGACCTCAGGAACTGCGCAACTTCAGATCTTTCATTCGTTTCCAAGATGGAATCTGTCAGATCCTGAGCTTCCTGAGCAATCTGGTAGATAGATAGATAGATAGATAGATAGATAGATAGATAGATAGATAGATAGATAGATATTACCCAAACATATGAGGCATATTTATCTCAGTTTGTGGTGCATTATTATCCCTTATTTTACTTTGATAGAGTGGGAGGGAAAGAAAAGCTGAAGTAACTGGTTTACAACCTTCCTTTTGGAATTTCAAGTACTCAGCAGCAAGTGTTTTGGAAGAGGTAACATCTTCAGCCACTGCTATACACAATAGAAAGATGAGTCCCCAGAGCAGTTGGCTAAAGCTGTGCTGTGGTATGAGGTAATTGTCACTCAGCCTTACAGGATCCTCTCACAGTGCATCGTCTAGAGGATAAGCATTAAGCTCTTGGCTCCCATAGGCTAGTTCAGAACAATATAACTTTCGCCTCTTGGTCTGTGATCACACTCCAGAGCCTTTTTCCTGTGCTGGGTGCAAAGAATTCTTAGTGAACATCGCCCTGAGAGACTTATGGCAGGGATTATTGCAGACAAATGAAGCGTAAGACCAAACACTTAATTTTGAATTGATCTCTTTTCTCCCCCTACTGCTCTGAGAAGGAATAAGCGGAAGCAGCTGGCCAGTCTCTCCACCTCTCCTTTTTAAGCTGATTTGCTAGCTTTCCTGCTGTGTACACGTCTGTAATTCTAGTCAACAGAGTTCAGTTTCTGTGGCAGGCTTATGTATACACTGGATGGCACAACCCTTTCTTTTTTCAGTTTCTTTTTGCCTTTGAAAGGCAATAACAAAACAGTTGAGAAAAACTCTGTATTTCCACAAGGGCTGATTCTGGATGAATGAATGCATGCTTCCCAACCTCTTGCATAGTAGTAATGAACTGTTCTGATTTCCTCTGTTGTGGGATTTAAGACACAAAGTTCCTTGGTCTTGTGTTTATTCCCTTGAACTCATATCCTTCAGCTCCCTGGAAGTCATACATATTACTGGCCTCTGAGCCCACAGCAGCATTTGCATCTGAAATACAGAGCCTTGAGACCAGACTGCCCATTCAGAAGATGCCTGCGTTCAGCTCAGAGGTGTCTCTAGGAATCTGCAGCAGTCCTAGTGGGGCTGGGAGGTCCTGGAGTAAGAGACGACCCTGGAGGTCATCAAAGGGCATGGTCCTCCTTATCCCTCTCCCCAGGGAAAATCAGGGCTGGGGCAGGGACAAATGAGAGCAGGGATTACTTTTACCCTTCCTACTACACTCCCCCATCCTCTCTACTTCCAGCCTTCAACTTCCACTAGCTCCCCTGACCTGTGGTACCTGTGTCCTTGTGCCTCCCATCCTGCTTGGCATCCACTCATGTAAGAAAACAAAGCACAAAGGAGTCACTTTTTCCACTACAAACATTTGCTCACATTTCTCCAGTTCACTTTTTCCGTATCAGAGGCCTGAGCCTCTTCTCTGTCCTTGGGGTCTGGCTGCTGGTGTTGAAGGCCAGCTCTGACTTGGAGCAGTGATATCTGGGATCAGGCCGAAGGGAGGCAGCTAAAGTGAGGAGAAGCTGAGAGAAGCCTCTCCTGCAGCCTCCCCTGTCACACCAGAGCTGCTTTTGAGGTCCCGAGTCTCTGTTTGGGGTGTGCAATGCTGTGCTATGCCCATGCCTGGCCACAGTGCTGACCCTGAGTAACGTTTCTAGACTTCTGTCTCAATCTTGACTTGCTTCATCACTGTGATGCTGCTGGGTGACTGCTGGGCTGTGGTGACCCTGCCCACCACCAGTGATCCCTGTGCAGCTGACCTGTGGTGCAGGATCTCCTCCAGCCCGGTGCAGATGCTGCCCAGTCGGCTTCACTCCCAGTGGATATTCTGTGCTTCAGACAGGGATCTTTCAGAATCTATTGGTGGTGGGAGAAGTCCCCTGGGAATACCTGGTCCTGCCATCATGTGGCTTCTTCCAGCCCAGACTTCAGGTTCAAAATTTCATTCCTTCTCTGAACTCTGGCCACTCAACCTGTTTTTCCCAGATTGATTCATTTTCTCATAGAATCACAGCATCATAGAATCAAGCGGGTTGGAAAAGACTGCCAAGGCCACCACCAAATCGTGTCACTGAGGCCCTCATCTACATGGTTTCTAAACACTTCCAGGGACGGTGATTCCACCACTTCCCTGTGCAGCCTGTTCCAATGCTTGAGCACCTTTTGGTGAAGAAAGTTTTTCTAATATCTGATCTAAACCTCCCCTGGAGTAGCTTGAGGCTGTTACCTCTTGTCCTATGGCTTGATATTCGGGAGAAGAGACTGACCCCCACCTCACTACTTAAATTTGCAATCTTACCAACCTTCAGGTTTTTCCCTGAAGAATATCTCACAGTATCACAGTATGCTAGAGATTGGAAGGGACCTCAAAAGATCATCTAGTCCAATCCCCCTGCCGGAGCAGGAACACCTAGATAAGGTTACACAGGAACGTGTCCAGGCGGGTTTTGAATGTCTCCAGAGAAGGAGACTCCACAACCTCCCTGGGCAGCCTGGTCCAGTGTTCTGTCACCCTCACTGAGAAGAAGTTTCTTCTCAAGTTTAAGTGGAACCTCTTGTGCTCCAATTTGTACCCATTACCCCTTGTCCTATCATTGTTTGCCACTGAGAAGAGCCTGGCACCATCCTTGTGACACTCCCCCTTTATATATTTATATACACTAATAAGGTCACCCCTCAATCTCCTCCAAACTATAGAGACCCAGCTCCCTCAGTCTTTCCTCATAAGGGAGATGCTCCACTCCCTTAATCATCTTAGTTGCCCTGCGCTGGACTCTCTCCAGCAGGTCCCTGTCCTTCTTAAACTGAGGGGCCCAGAACTGGACACAATATTCCAGATGAGGTCTCACCAGGGCTGAGTGGAGGGGAAGGAGGACCTCTCTCGACCTACTAACCACCCCCCTTCTAATACACCCCAGGATGCCATTGGCCTTCTTGGCCACAAGGGCACAGTGTCGGCTCATGGTCACCCTGTCGTCCACTAGGAACCCCAGGTCCCTCTCCCCTACACTGCTCTCTAACAGGTCTTTCCCCAACCTATACTGGAACCTGGGGTTGTTCCTGCCCAGATGCAGGACTCTACACTTTCCCTTGTTATATTTCATCAAGTTACTCCCTCCCCAACTCTCCAGCCTGTCCAGGTCTCGCTGGATGGCAGCACAGCCTT